ATTTCAAGTTTCAACACAATAATCCAATTTTTAGTTTAAAAATTTTCTTATAATTATTATATTTATCTTTAAAACAATGATTATAAATTATATCTATACAGTATTAAAAATTTAACAATATATTATAATATAGGTAACTGGTTTGTATAAATGGTATAATAATAATTGTGTTATTGTCGTTWAAATATTTGTTTGRTTATAATTTATTATAATGATTAGATATTGTTTGGATCTATATCTTATTTACAAAATATTTAATAATATAACCTATTAAGTTTTATGTAAAACCTAGAATTAATGTATTTTCGTCTACTCCATTACGTTTAGATAAAATTGTATTTGAATCRGTGTATAATCAGCCTATACCCTATACGCTCCATTAATTTATTGTTTTTTGACTCTCATATTATGTTTTGAAGGCTGGAGTAAACCCAAACGTATCGGATTTCAAAGGCCTTACACCCTTGATGACCGCCAGTATGTTTGGAAAAACGTCTACGGCAAGTTTCCTGTTGGGCATGGGTGCTCTGCATCATCTAACCGACATAAATGGTGAYACGGCATTGCACTGGGCCTCGTACAAAGGTCACCCGGAACTGATAAGGTTATTGTTATACTCTGGAGCTGACCTGACGAAAGCTGACAATTTCGGGTCCACACCGTTGCACTTGGCTGCTCTTTCAGGAAATGCAAAATGCGTTGAAATACTTTGTCAGAATGTAAGAAAATTATTTACTTAATTAAAAAGACATTGTCAATGGACTTTTCATAATTTGTATGGATTTTCACTTATTGACCATTACAGAGCCAAATATCTTTACAACCCAGGGACAAAAATGGAAAAACACCATTGAGCCTGGCCGTGAACCACAGGTACGAGGACATCGCTGGGCTGCTGAACAGAGAGATTAAGAAAAGAAAGAAATGGATGGTACCTCTACACAAAGCGCTGTAAGATTACACAGTAATATAAAATATGCAATTTGATATTTTGAAATATTCTGCATTATAAAACATTTAAAAAATATTTTTTATAGAAATGCAATTTTTGGAAGTTCGGCGTATTCAAAAGGTCCTTTGCTGCTATTTCTATGTTCCTTCTTGATTTGGTGGTAYCCTCTTTACATATACAGAGTGAGACAGTGTTTTCAGTTATCCATAAAATGTATGTCCAGATTTTTAATAGTTTTATGCAACTATATTATAGGTAGTGCCTGTTACGTGGAACATAACGAGAGGTTGYCACTACACTTATCTAGCATGGAATATTTTTATGTGGATATGTTGGATTATTACGAAACATTCAGATCCTGGATTCTTACCAATCGATTCAGGGAGTTACATTCAAACCATTAGACAAGTAA